TGATCCTTCAAGTTGAGGAATGGGTGAATTTAAAGCTTTTAATAGATGCATAAGGGTTTGAATCATGAGTTGAATCATAGGTTTATTCAAATCTGTTACTCTTCATTTTGAGATATTGATTTTACTTGTAATTACTTGGATTTTGGATTTTTGCCAATTTCTTAATCTTGTTTGATCTTTGAATTTGAAAATTAGGTGAATTAGAAGCTTTTAATAGATTCAAAAGTGTTTAAATCATGAGTTGATTCACAAGTTCATTCGAATCTGCTACTCTTCATTTTGAGATGGTCGATTTTACTTGAAGTTACTTCAATTTTGACTAGTTTCTTAATCTTGTTTGATCTTTAAAGTTGAGGAATTGGTGAATTTGAAGCTTCTAATAAATGCATAATTGTTTGAATCATGAGTTGAATCACAGGTTTATTCAAATTTATTGCTCTTCATTTTGAGATTGTTGATTTTACTTGAAGTTACTTGGATTTTTGCTAGTTTCTTAATCTTGTTTGATTTTTGGAGTTGAGAAATGGATGAATTCAAAGCTTCTAATAGATTTAACAGTGTTTGAATCATGAGTTAAGTCAAAGGTTCATTTAAATTTGCTACTCTTTGTTTTGAGATGGTTAATTTTACTTGAAGTTACTTGAATTTTACTAGTTTCTTAATCTTGTTTGATCTTTGAAGATGAGGAATGAGTTTAAAAAAATGGTCTGGTTGTTGGATAATTTAAATCACTGTGATCAAGGTGTGAAGGTCGTGGTGTTCAATTATTAAATGCATGTTCAGCTGTTTGTCTATTGTAAAATTGTTAATTATGAACTTTTGTTGTTGTTTCTTTAGTGATTCTAGTTTGATTTAGTGATATCTGTTACATTACTCTAACTTCCAAATTATGGTCCTTTATTTTGCTTCATATATTAGGTTGTTTTGATTCAAAATGTTTTGTAAGGTCTCCCAGGTGTCTCATGTAAGGAATCCTACACATTTGAGATTGAATAGATCACTTTGAATTTGCACAATTTAAAATGACATGTTGTCAGCTGTTTCTTTCAAATTGATTGATATTTGTACTAAAATCAAGTCTAATCATAATGATCAATGGGAAAACTAGAAACAGTAGATTCTAGAGATACTATTGGCCTACAAGAAAGTATATGATATGGCTACAGATGTTGTTGATATTCGAAATGCTTTAAGAAATCCTATAACTCCTCTAATGATAGTAAAACATGTTATCAACATGGTCATGTAGTGGTTTGAATGGCTTACAAGTCCAAAGAAGTTAGCTGTTTAAAATGGCATGTTGTTAGCTGTTTCTTTCAAATTTGAGATTGAATAGATCACTTTGAATGTGCACAATTTAAAATGACAGGTTGTTAGCTATTCTTTCAAATTGATTGATATTTGTACTAAAATCAAGTCTAATCATAATGGTCAATGAGAAAACTAGAAACAGTAGACTGTAAAGATACTATTGGCCTACAAGAAAGTATATGATATGGTTGTAGATGTTGTTGATATTCGAAATGCTTTAACAAAGCCTATAACTCCTCTAATGATAGCAAAACATGTTATCAACATGGTCATGTAATGGTTTGAATGGCTTACACGTCCAAAGAAGTTAGCTGTTTAAAATGACATGTTGTTAGCTGTTTCTTTCAAATTTGAGATTGAATAGATCACTTTGAATTTGCACAATCTAAATTGACATGTTGTTAGCTGTTTCTTTCAAATTGATTGATATTTGTACTAAAATCAAGTCTAATCATAATGATGAATGGGAAAACTAGAAAGAGTAGATTGTAGAGATACTATTGGCCTACAAGAAAGTGTATGATATGGCTGCAGATGTTGTTGATATTTGAAATGCTTTAACAAAGCCTATAACTCCTCCAATGATAGCAAAACATGTTATCAACATGGTAATGTAGTGGTTTGAATGGCTTACAAGTGCAAAGAAGTTAGGTGTAGTAAATAAAAGCTTAAATGTTGTAAATCCATCACAGTAATGAACCCAGATGCAACAAGTGGAAAAGTAGAGAACAATAAAGAGTGAAAAGGAGTCTGTGAGAAAAACTCTCTCTGTTTGAAAATCATAAACATACAAACTCTCCAATCTCTTTTTAGGAGATGGATTTGCTAGAGTGAAGTACCAAAAGGATTAAGAAATCTGATTCCA